ATGGAACTGTCCTCTCCATGGGACTGGAGCTGTCCTCTCCATGGGACTGGAGCTGTCCTCTCCATGGGAATGGAATGGGCTGGGGCTGGACCGGGGGCTGCAGGGGGCAGATGGAGGGACCAAAACTGCCCCTCTGGGCCCAGCAGAGCCTGGAGAGCCCCCAGCCCTGGCTGCCCTCCCCCAGCAGTGTATCCCTGTCCAGGACACAGGCAGAGCTTCAGCCCTGGATCCCCTGCACGGAGCTGGATTCGCTCCCAGTTCTGCTTCCAGAGCCGTGCCAGAGGCTGATTTCTGTGTCCTGGTGATTCTGTGGCTCAGCCCCTTTGTTGGTGTGGTCATTCCTGATGGTCCCTGGTGGGGTGTGGGGACAGGTCCTGCCCATACAGGTGACATTTCCCATCTGTTCCGGGGACATTTCCTTTGGTGAGCACCCAAAATCCATCTGTTGCACTCCAGGCTGGGTTTTTGGCAATAGTCTGTGGCTTCTTATTGCTCAGAGGGCTCAAGAGACTGAAATCCCAGGGCAGCCTGATCCCAGCATGGGGAAGGGGTGAAATGTTTCCCAGGATTTCACTCCCAGATCCTCCAAAGGTCTGTAAATGCACTGGGTCATTAAAAAGGACAGTATTTTCTGTATAATGCTCTGGTTGGTCTGGATTAATTGTGTCAGATATGGATGTAATATAAATGTATAGCTCATATTTTCTTGATACACGTCATTAAATGGAAAGCAGGAGGGTGTTAATTGGGAAAGTCATTGCTGTGCCTGCATGGAGCTGGAGTGTCATGGAATAACTGGGATTGAAGGCTCCTCTTCAGCGTCCCTGCTCCAAGTAGGGTCAAACTCATCCAGTCCTTGTCTCCAAATCCCCACAAAAGTACAGAATGTGGCTTAAAAGCACTGAGAAAGGGGCAGGCTGTTGTTCTGCTCCACAGAAAGAGCATGAAAGCCCCGTGATCCAATTTAAATAGTCATTTCCACGCAGAAAAAGACAAATAAGTTATTTGTTCATCTCCTTCCCCAGGGCTTTGGGCTTGGGGGAAACCCCAAAAACAGGGAGAAAAGGGTATTTTTTTCTCCTCAGAATTACTGTGAAGGTAAATTTTATTATAAAGTGATCAAATTTAAACCAGTATATTGTGGCTAAGGGATGACACACTGTAAATGTCCTAAGAGAGGTTATTTTGCTCCCTGCCCCCCTGTGCTGTACAGCTCAATATTTATACAGTTTTGTAGAATTAAAACCTGCTGGTTTAGTTTTCTTTGGGTGCACTCATCTTTTTCTAGATTACTTTTATCTGGTAAGGGGGTTATCTGCTAAAAACCCCCAGACTTCCACACAATAACTGCATTTTTAGGGCTTTATTTCCACGTTGAGGGGTGGAAATGGGGCAGCAGAACTGTTGGGAGTGAGGGCTGAGAGGGGACAGGACGTGGCAAATCAGCACAGGAGCTTCAGCTGTCCCCAGGTGGAGGTTAAAGCTCAGTTTTCCAGAACATCTTAAAGGATTTATAAACGTAAATGAAAATTAATCCTCAGGAGACCAAGAGGGAGAGACCAGTTCGTGTCCTCGCTGAAGTGGAAGTAATTTCTGAGAACCTTTAGCCCAAATATTGATATGTAAGTGTGAATTATTTCAGATTTTACTCTTAATTGCTGGACAAAATTAAGCCTTTTTGGTACAAAAAGTGACAGAGGTAAGTGTTGTGAGAGAAAATGATGTGCCCTTTATCTGTGTATAACAAATGGTAATTATAACAAATTATGTATAT